AACACTACCCCAAAAGATACACTATAACTCTATGGTTTCTTTAGAGTCAGTGTCTGGATCAACAAAAAATAACTCTTTGAAAGAAGAAGAATAGATAAGTCTAGAAAAAGGAGTATAAAAAGAACTATGTCTATCTTTGTTAAGATTGAAGAAAGCTTTGAAATAAAGATAAAAAATATTCTCTGAAAATAGGGTTGAAGATGTTAAGAATCAATGAGCATAGTTTCAAGGTTGAGACTTGAGATTAGGTATAGACTTAATAGGCCAAATTTCGTGAAAATATGCATAAAGACAAGCCAGAAAAATTCAAAAATGGGCCTCTACAACTGACAGTGATTCTATTTTTTGTAAAATTGAAAAGGCCCCAGTATAATGCTCCAAGAGCAAAAAGGGCCAAGGCAAGGTTCTTTTTGTTGGCCAAATGAATTGCCATTCCAAGGTATTCTTTGGTTACCTTATAACCAGGAACACAAAAGACTGATTAACAGAGCCAATGAAGAAGAAATGCTACATGTTCTTCGAATGAGGGTTTAGGATATTTGGAAAAAAATATTCTTCATTAGATCATTACATCCTATATTGGAAGGGAGATTAATGAAGGAATGATCGGTATTGGTGGAGATGCAAGCATTTCCCTCCATACCCGTCGATAGAAGTTCCTTTAGATGAACAATGTCAAGAATTACTAGAGACATCATACCAATATGACAAAACATGACATTGCATGATTGAGACAAAAAACATGTGGCGATACTGATCCATGTGCATTTCACAAGTGGAGAGCTTAATCATCTCAAAGATACCTAAGTGCCTCCATTGAAAAGAGAAGTGAGGTTCTAACCTACCCACACAATCAACCCATCACTGATCAGGATTTAACCATGAGCGAAGAGAGTTGGTTCCATGTTTCCAATATTTTCATAAGAGTAATGTTTGGTTCAGCATTAGGGTTTTTCCCTCGTGAATAGGATATAAATCAGAGGAACTATTGCAGACATATGATTTGAAACAAGGACCAAGAGCAAGATTTCCAATAGAATTAGGGATGAGAATCAACATCTTGTGTTCTACTAAGTCATGAGCCATTTGTTTGATTTTAGTAGGAAATTTGGGGGAGAAAGGAATGTCAGATGAAGATGGAATGGTTTGCTTATTTGGAGCCATTTTGAGTATAGAAGAGAAGAATTGCTAGATGCAAAGGAAGATAGAAAGCAATAAGCAATGAAGCAAAGTTAAATGAATAGTATATCCACCAATTCCTTAAATAGGTGTTTGGAGAAGCAACAGTCGTGATTGTTCATTTATTCAGGTTATTGATTAAGCCTGATTAAATGAAGGGGGTCATTGTTTGGACAAAAATATAAAATCCTAGGAATATTTAGTGTATTAACACCTGACATCATAGATGCATTGAGGAAGTGCCACGTGGTAGAATTTAAAGAAACACGTGAGATGATCAGCCACAGTCATATTTAAAAAGGATGAAGTAACCAACTGGGAATTACCAGTCAGTAATTGTTAACCAGAGCAAAACTATCGAAGATAATGGCTATAAAAAGGGCATTTAGTGAAGAAAGCCAATCTGAAAGCCAATCTGTCACCATCTCACGTGGGAGTTTCCATCCCAAATGAGGGAATCCATAGGGACACAATCATCAAGGCCACATCACCAGTCTCGCAATATCACCTCACCCGTTATGAGGTAGGGCGAGCTTCAAGGAATCACCGCACTATCACCTCACCTATTACAACAATATTGTGAGCTTCACGAAATCACCGCACTCCTTGTTATGAGGATGGTGCCTCCGTCAGAGACCATTGGGGCCAACTTCACTTGCCTATAAATTGTAAGATCCGCCTATACATGGGAGGCATCATACACATCTTAACACACTATACCTCTTAAGTGATAAGATTCTCTAGTCACCATTGCCATTCCTAGTAGACTAGGTCACCCAGACTGAACCACCTAATCTTTGTGTTTGCTTGTGTTAGACAGTCTTTACTTCATCCTTGATTGATTTTGCATAAACTCACTTTTTGCATCATCAAAATTTATCAGATAAAAGATAAGAAAAGTAAAGGACTTCATCTGGCAAAACATGGTGTGCTGATTTGGACTGTCCCACGCCATAGTGAACGACAACACCAAACAATTTGAAAACAAACTCCTCAATGCTTTTTGCATGTAGCTCTAGATCAATCAACCCTACTCCAGGCCAGCCCATCCCCAAGCAAGCGGACAATCTAAGGTCCCGTAAGAAGCATACTACACAATCTAAAATCCAAGTTGGAGAACACCGAATGACATTAGGTAGAAGAACTACCATGTGTGCTATGGGCATGCCGGATAACACCCAAGATCCCCACTGTGAGACACTTTTCTCCCTCGCCTTTTGCACTGAAGCAGTCATACCTATCAAGATTGGGGTCCAATCATTGAGAATCCAACGCCATGATCCCAACACCAATGAAGAAGGTCTCCGCATCAACCTCAATTTGATAGAGGAAGAGAGAGAGATGGACATGGTTAGGAATGAGGAGTACAAGCACCGCATGACCAAGTATTACAATTCGAGGGTTAAGTCTCACTCCTTCTTATCTGGAGACTTAGTCCTTAAGAAGGTAATACTGGCCACTAAGTACTCACGAGAGGCAAAGCTAGGACCAAATTGGGAGGGGCCATACACTGTGACAGATATTGTGAGGCCAAGCACTTACAAAATCCAGAATTCTGAGATACAAGATTTGCCCCATCCATAGAATGCTGAACACCTGAAGAAGTACTACAAATAGTGCGACAAGACAAAGGTAGCAGAACAAGTATTTTAATTTTCACTGGTAGCAAGAGTTTCTTTTTATTTTGTTTAGTTGTTTTGTACTTTTTGGGGGCAACCTACCCACTAGAGTTTACCATAAGTAGTTATCAAATAAAGCCTTGAGGATTCATCATATAAATTGTCTAGTTTTTCATTTCACAAAATTTTTAAAATAAACAAACAGCACAAAAAAAAGGCAAAATCTTTCAACTTCCTCTTCAATAGTCTAGCTACTTTCACTGTCGTCGTCCTCCTCACTGCTACCTAACGCACTCTCATAGAATCCACTCAATCGTCATCACCACCTATGCCCGACTCCTTATATGGGACAAATGTCGAAAAATCTATGCTAGGAAAGGTAGCCGAAGCTTTCCCCCTAAACTCCTCATAACCATCAACAAAAGTGTCTGCTCCACTATCTTGAAGGTCATGAACAACCTTCTCTACAACCTCCCTCTTCCTCTCGGGAGTTGGCCTCTACTTTGGTAGCCCTCTTATGAGCAACTTAAAGCTTTGTCTCTATCACAGTAGCCCTCTTATAAGCTACAAGTAGCTCTAACTCAACTCTAGCAGCCCTCTCATGAGCTGACTGCAGCTTTACCTCTGCTCTTGCACAAGCAGCCTCACTCTCAACCTCTAGCTTAGCCGCTCTCGCACGAGATGCCAAAGGCTCGACCTCAAGAGGTGCAGTTCTCTCATGAGCCACCCTTAACTGTTCCTCAACACCCTATAGTGCCAGCCTCTCTCTCATTAGAGTCATCGGTACACGCTTATACTGGGTGGCAGTCATAAAAAGATAGGTAGCGACCATAGACATGTTCAAACAATCAAAAAAAGAAAAATGTTAGTGTTATTAGAGGATATGAGGAATAATATTCTATAGAAAAGAAGTGCACATGATTACCGTAGCTAGGCCCTCCATCATGGTGTTAATAATACCATTTGTACCTTGATGTCTAACTTCTTTTTTGTTTAAAGGCGAACTTGAGATTTGATCCTTAGCAACATTTATGTCCCAAAACATGGACATTGTACCACTGTTGGACATTAGAGAAGTAGGTGGCACCCCGGTCTATATGGAAGAAGGAATCCTCGCTTCTAGGGATGCCATGAGTAGCGAGTTAGCCAAGGGAGATGCCTGGATAACTGGAATAGCTTGAGGAGGTACCTCCATGGAAGCTATGGGAGCATAATCGAACATTATCCTCTTGGGTGGAGGAGTTGCCTATGCAGCCCTGGCGGAGTGGAGAGCCTTTACCCTTAACCTATTATCTGCGAAGCCAAAGTAAAGGGAGGAATTTTTAGAAATCAAAAATACCATCATATACAACTTAAAAATTACACACCTCTCCTCTTGGAAAAAGACCCGCAAACCTGTGAGAAGATGGAGTGGAAGCACCTCTTGAGGGGAAAACTCCAGTCTGACCCTCTCCAACCATGAGAACTATATAATCCTTAACAGGGTGGACCCTCACAGCCTAAAGCCTTTTCCCCTGATCTATTTATAACTCTAGCAAACCTGAAAAAGAGCTAAATGCATGGTAAAGACGTATAGAACACATCAACTAAATGGAGATAAGAAAGGGAAAGTTTCACACTTATCCTCATAGGCGCACACCACCTTGCTAGAACCAGAGCGTGATCCTCCTCAGTAGCCCACTCTCATCTAAGGAATAAAAATTGAGACTTTCAACTATGACAGTTGGAGTGTAGTCCAGTAATGAACTTTCCTACCCTCAAAGAAAAGTGATACCAACCTTGATTGGGAGTGGGGTTCTCCTATAACATATAGGCAGCAAACAATTATTTACAAGTAAGAGAGGTGCCCATGCCATGCACCTGTCGCCACAACGAAAGAAATGCTAACAACAATATCCAACCATTTGGAGCTAATTGCGCTGGCATAAGAAACTACTACGCCAAGATACAACACATAGGCACAGGAATCGGGAGTCTCAAGCCTGCCTCTAGCACCTCTTCATAGATGGCAATGTCCCCCGATGAATCATCGAAAGCCGATTCGCCCATCTCAGCCCAACCGCACAACACAGTAGGGGGAATACAAAAAGTAGAGACGATTCTAGCAATTTCAGCATTAGTATTGATTAAACTAGAAATAGTGCTCACATTAGAGCCATCATCATCAACAACTACTTTGTCAAGAAGTTTACGTCATTGTAGATGTTGGCCAACGTCGTTTCTATCATCACCAACCTCGCAGCTCGAACACTGGTTGCCTTCCTACGCTTCATCGCCAACGCCATCTTCGAGCAACTTGTCTGTGCTCTTGCTTGCTCCACATACACCTGAGCCCCCGGATGCCTGTTGCCCACCACCCAAGCCACTAGAGCCTAATGCCCTGGTGCCCTTGGTGCCTACGCCTTGCAGCCCAGCACCCCAGCATTTGCATCTTTTTACCTGGCACCAATCGCCCAAATCATGCTCGATGCCCAGTGCCCATCACCTATTGCCCGGTGACTAGTGCCCTTGCCTCGACCAGCGCCCAGTGTCCTTTGTTGCACCAATGTTGCCGGTTTACTTGGCGCCTACCTCTCTCTGCCCATGGCGCCTATTGCTTGGCCACCACTTGCGCCCTCGCCCAAGGCATCCGCTATCAAACTATTACCCCAAGTGCCCACTGTTAGACTGCCACCCCAGCCACCCTACGGCCCCCAATACAGCTACCTCGTTGTCCATTACGCCCCTTTCCTGGTCGTCGCTCACGCCAATGCCCACGACCCCTAGCCTTTGCTCCTTGCCTCTTTCAACCAGCTCACTCTTTTCCTTTTGCCCTAAAGGTGCATGAAAAGTCTCTTTAGCCTTCAAGATAAGTGTCTAATGCCCTATTTAAAAGGCTAATCAAGGATTTCTTGATGCCAAAGGAACTCTACTACTAAAAGAGTTCCATATTTAAAGGACTAATCAAGGAGTTCTTGTTGCCAAAACAACTCTACTGCTAAAAGAGTTCTATTGCTAAAAAGCCTATTTCTACTAAAATAGTTTTGTTGCTAAAAGAGGATAAACTCAAGTTTCTCTACTCATGCTGGTTGGCACTCACAAATGTGTCTACCTCTCACTCATTAGATTACCTTGAGAACTATGATTTCACTCATTCAGAATGAAGGTTGTCCTTTCCCACGAATAGAACAAGACACATGAAAATTCTATTTCTTCACTAAATTGTGATAAAAGTTAAAATTCAGTGGAAAACAGTCATTTTTGGGAAATTTGGTGCCAAAATCGTCGTAGGATGTTTGATTCTGGTATATCTAAAAAAAATACATGAATTAAAAAAATACTTCAAATGGACAATTGTGCACAAAGTTATGGTCGTTCATAGTTTTGACACTTCTTTATGCTTTTCTCATACTCCACCAGCGCCAACAACTAGACAGACGCCCTCGCAACTTGCGTCAATGCTCTTTCCCTTACGCCGTTGTTCGCATCCTTGTACCAACACTGACGTCCTTGCGCCAGCACCCATGCCTTAACGGTGCGCCATCTCCCTCGGTCGCACACCCTCGCACCCAATGTCAGTAGCGAGGCACCCGCGCCCACGCCCTTGTGCAGCACCTTCTTCTACACAACCTAGCGCCAACGCACCATACCCTCGCCTGCGCACCTTCACCCTCGCCCTCTACTCCTCACCTCATGCACTGTCTCACCCATACTCGGCCTTCTAAAAAAGATACCCATTAATTTTTACTAATGCCCTATCCCCCAAGTTCCACTGGAATCTGGGAATAGGGGGAAAATAATGGGCCCAACCTAGATCAGTCTCAAAATTATAGACTAGGTGCGAACCACAGATGCGGACCAACAAAGGCCCAGTTACAATTTTAGTTGGGCCAAAGCTCACCTTCTTGAGAAATCTAGTCCGTCATCAGCGCACGTGGGAGTTTCCATCCCAGAGATGGAAATCCGTAGGGACGCAGTCATCAGGGGCACATCGCTATTCTGCAATATCACCAAGCCCGTTACTAGGTAGGGCGAGCTTCAAGGAATAACCCAGTAACTCACCCGTTATAAGGATAAGGTGAGCTTCACGGAATCACCACGCTCCCTGTTACGAGGATGGTGCCTCCGTCAAAGCCCCTCAAGGCCAACTTCACTTGACTATAAATTGTAAGCTCTGCCTGCCCATAGGGGCAACACAAACATCTCAGCACACTCAAGTAATAAGATTCTCCTGCCACCGTCGTCATTTCTAGTGGAGCAAGTCACCTAGATTGAACCACTTAATCTTTTTGTTTACTTGTGTTGAGCCTTCTTTGTTTCATCCTTAATTAATTTTACGTAAACTCATTTTTGTGCACCACAAAAACTTATCTACTCCTAATGGATTCTAGTGGTAGCCTATCAAACCTTATTCCAATTTCAAGGTTGTTCACCAAAGGCAAGGAAGGTACCGACATTTCGAATGAATAACATATTTTGTTCTCATGCCATTGACTGTGAATTTGGCTTCTTGGGATTCCTTCACCATTTCTAGCTCCTATAGTGGTCTTCTACCTTTACCACTACTTTTAAGGGTCTAAAGTGCGGTATCAGAAAAATTGGTGGACTTGGGTTCTTCAACTCAAGCTCTAGGCTTACTTCACGAACTCTCCTCCTTCAGCCTATGAATTTGGTTCTTATGGCCATTCCTATAACCTTGCACTTTGAAAGATTCAAATTTTTTCTAACTTGTTTACCTTTGTTTATGATCAGGCCACAACACGGCCTACCATGATGTTTTTCCCCACCTTAAGGGACCTGAATGGTTCCTTAATGCTATTTGTTGGTGTCTGTGTCACAATTTGAGCTCCAAGGCTCTCAGGAGGTTGGCTAATCCACTCTCAAGGGAGTCTCTTTCTCCTGACAATTTAATTAAAGATAATCAAAGGAATGTACAATCTTCTTAGTACTATCTAGATTGTCTGTCTCATAGTGAGGGCTTTGTATAGTATTTATAGCCTAGTTCCTAGTCCCATGGGGTATAGGATGAAATCTTCAGCTCTCCTGTGTAACACTTTGCCTGATTTTAGGCGATGGTTTAGGCGGTTGAGGTCCTTATGCCTAGATAGGCATTTAATTCCATTAATGGGGTGCTTAGTGGCTGCCAGTCGTCTTCCACTCATTTCTTTTTTAGGTACAAGTCAAGGGAGCCCAAGGTCTGGGCCTCTGAGCTCTGATTTCCTGGGCTGAGCTTCCTTCCTGACCTCAGTGTCCGAACTCAGACTTATAATTTTTCTAGGTATCATCAGTTATCCCCCAGCCCCTGGTTAAAGTGGGTTTGAGTAGGAGCTGAGTTGCGGCTGAATTGAGCTAGGCCTTCACAAGGCAACCTCAATTTGCACGGAATGAAACTATTTTGACCGTTTTGTGTAATTATTTCTTCCTCGTTTCTCATACATCTCCCATATTTTGAAGGTCCATGTACACATATCTTTAAATGCTCATGTGATGGTGGAAACCACCTTATTTCCCCTTTCAACGTCCCTCTCTAGGTTTTGGCCCCTCTTTTCCTTTGTAATTTTAGCTTCCTCAATCTGCTGAAGATTCTAGGGTTTCGTTAGAGAACCAATTTCCCCAATTTAACTTCAAAGGTTCTGCGAGGTTTACTCTTCAATTTCACTTCAAACTTTGTTTTTTCATTCGCTCTTGGTTAAGTACGCTTCTTGGCTTTGTTCTTTTCTTCGTTCTAGATCCCTCAAACCCGAGGTGGTTGCTATATTTTTGGACCTTTTATTTTTGCTTTTTTAGGAATCGAGGTTACTCTTTGTCCTCTCTTCACCTCTTTCCGAACCCTTATTCTACTGCTAGAACCTTCCTCATTGGTCGTTGGAGTCTTGACCCCTCAACACTCAGGGATTATTTTTCGATGTCCCATTTCCTTAATCCTCCTTTTATCTCCCTTCTTCCAATCCTTTCATGTCTGGCTCCTCCGAAGCTATTGCTTCATTGGTCTCTCTTGCCATGGGCAAGAGGTCTGTTGGAGAGAAAGACAGTGATTTAAGTGATGTAGGTGATGAGATTGATAATTTTTTCGGTGTCGACTCTGTTGACCTTGGGAAAACACCAAGGAGATGCCCCTATCATCTCCTCCTATGTCTAGGAAGTTTAGGAAAGGAAAGGCCAAAGTGAATGACATCAAGATTTCTAGCAGCACTGAGGAGGCTGAGGTTACTCCCCAGGGTTCAGACCACATGGGTCATAGTGTGGTCACCCCTCCTTGCATGAGTGTTCTTTCGGCTCGATTTGGCTTCCCTCGATGTATGCATTATTGGTGCCCAGAAGTGGACACTCGGTATGAATCCTAGATTCTTGAGAAGGTTTGCTTCTTTATAGCCACTCTCAAGAATGGGTTGCACTTCCCTATACATCCTTTCCTCAAGAGTGTTCTTTAACACTTTCATGTTTGTCCTTCTCAGCTTTCCCCCAATTTTTGGGGTGTTCTTTTGGGTCTACTTGCTTTCTTTAAGAAAAACAAACTTGGTGTCCCCATTATACCTCTGCTCATGAAAGTTTTCAACGTTAAATTCAACCCTTCTAATTGTTTCATGTATATCTCTAAACGAGTGAAGGCCTGTCTCATTATAACCGACCTCCCGAGCTCCCATAAGAGCTAGAAAAAAAATTTCTTCTTTGTCTCTAGGAAAGAATGGGAGTTCAAGCCCAAAGACATAGCCAATACACTTTTTTTGCCACAGGCTCGATTTGCCCCTAATAATTTGGGTAAGTTCCGCTTGGGCAAACTTGTCTTAATTTGAATGCTTCATTCTGCTGACCTTGCTTTTCTTAATTCTTTCCGATATTCGACCCAACCTTAGTGCTAAGGATAGGAGAGTTTTACAAAGCTTGGAGGACTCTGAAGCGAAGAAATATGCTAGCTTGATTAAGCATTCTGTGCTCACCCAGCTAGGGTTCAGCCCTCCCGAGGTGAGAGTTGAGACTTTGATTCCCATCTCCATTGCTAGTTCGGAGGATCCTACTGGTACAATTTTTCTCTTTTTATTTTATTATTATTATTATTATTATTATTTGTCAACAGACCTGTTTGCTTTCCCAAGTTCAAGCTCAATGGCTCCAAACTCAAAGGCGATGAAGGCTAAGATTGTTGAGATGAAAGGCAAGGCTGGAGCCGACTCTAGACTTAGTCCTTCTTCTAAGGTGTAGAGGGTAGGAGTGCCTCTACCTTATCTCTTGCCTTATCAAATGATCTTTCCTCCTTCGTCGACTTCGCTGAAGGTCGATCTGACCTCCTCATCTCAAGGGGTTCCTATTTCCCTTATCGCGGGATCTTCTGATCAAGTTAGGACCTCATCCTTCCCCTTGTCGGGAGAGGTTGTTGGAGCTTCAAAGTCCCTAGCTCCCCTCTAGCGAGGTTCTTCCTTTTCTCGATCTCTTAGGAAGAGTTCTTATATATGGGTGGAGGGTTTACCTACAAAGCATAAGAAGGGCAAGAGTTCACTTATTAATGACTCAAGCCTAGCCACTGAG